AATCCATAAAAATGAACAACATCCCCCAGGTAGACCTATTGTTTCTGGGATAGGTTCACTTTTATGTTATCAATCATTTAAACACCAATAATAGGGGTATTATTCTTACACATGAATTTAGTAAAAAATCTATCAATTTTTTAGACCTTAATATTTTTATCAACAAGGGACAACTCCAAACAAAAACTTTCTTCAAAAAAGTATGTGTAAACACGGCTATAGATAGATCTAGCTGCCATTATAAGCCTTGGCTCGAGAGTGCCCCAAAAAGCCAGTTTTTACGCCTTTGTAGAAATTATTCAGAACTTACAGATTTTAATGAGCAAGCGGATTTCTTAAAAAATTAATTTATGGAAAAAAAATATCTAGAATCAGATTTAAATACTACAATTAATACAGTCAAACAAAAAGAACGAAAAGAACTTCTGACGTATAAAAATAAAGAAAATAATGAATCAATAGTACTCCCAGTCATTTTTAATTTTAATAATAAAAGTAATGATGTTAAAAAAATAATAAGAAAACACTGGCACATACTTAAACACGATGAGATACTTAATCCTATTATACCTACTCATCCAAATATTGTTTTTAGAGGAGCACCCAATTTTAAATCTATTTTAACTACAAATTTTACTAAAAAATCTCCTCCCAAAAATTCATCCTTCTTCCCCCAGACGAAAGGTTTTTATAAATGTAAACAATGTATTGTATGCAAAACCACAGATCATTTTATTTCATCTAAAGTCACAAGTTTCATGTCCAATCGGACAAAAAGAGTGTATAATATTTATGATTTTATATGCTGCAATACGAAAAATGTTATTTATCTGCTTGAGTGCACATGTGGCCTCCAATATGTGGGGATGACCACAAGGTGCTTAAAAATAAGGCTGAGCGAACATTGCAGAAATATTAAAAATGGATACTTAAATCATACAGTATCCAAACATTTTATTATGCACAATAAAGACCCACGCCTACTAAAATGCATTGGTATAAAAAAATGTTCCACCTCTTGGCGTGGAGGTGATATAAAAAAACTGCTCGGAAAAACAGAGATGGACTGGGTGTATAAACTTCAGACTCTTATACCCCATGGTCTTAATGCAGATTTTGATCTATACAATTTTTTATGATTATGTATGTAAAATAATACTTGTATTTTGAAATCTAAGTTTTTAATGCTGTTTACAATATTAGTGTCTCTTATATATACTTTCTTATATACTTTTCTTCATTGTGTAAATGATGCCAGTATTTTTAAAATTAAGTTTTTAATCCTGCATCTTTTTATAATTCAATGTTAATGCTTTTCATTTTAATATGCAGTATTTAACTTCCTTATTATATCATGGGACACTTTTTATATTTTATATTTTATTTTTTATTGAAATTCTATTCATTTTTAGATGATATTGATGGAACTACATCTCCCAGTAGGCATTTCGGCTATAACTTCCGATTTGCGGAAGTGCCGAGTAATCACGTGTCCCTCCGTCTATCTATTAAATTTACAGCTTATAATTTTCGTTTTATAATATAAATCTCAGTAATGGCATCAGACCTCTCCAAACTATTTTTATATATATGCCTTTTTATTTTGTATGCGGCCGCCGGTCGCGGCTAATTCCTGACTACATTTCCCATGTGGCATTGCGGCTAAACTTCCGAAATGCGGAAGTGCCGTATGTCACGTGATTATCTTCTAATGTTCAAAATTATACTTTCTCACCCTCGTTTTTGATTTTTAACTATCAGAAATAAGTTGTAACACTATAAATTGTATACTGATTAAGTTATGGACATGTTTTAAAGTTTTAAATATGTTTTCATTTCTGATTGGATGGACCAATTTTTGGCGCCAAATTCAAACTAGCTATGCTCTTATATAACACCTACAAGCCAGGTATCATTTGTTATTCCATTTGAAAAAGTCTTTGACGAAACGCGTTATGGAAATTTAACTATTGTGTTTGTAAATATATTAAAGTATTTTTGGTCATTTGTTTGTGCCAATAATCTTTTTTATAGACACATAATTTTTCTTTTTTTACCCTGGCTTTTTAAAATTATTTTATTCTTATTGGTTTTACAAAAACCTTGAAAATCCCTGGAAGTTTCCTGCACTTAAAGAAATCCTAGGTGGGGATTAATCCACCCAAGCTGTCATCACGGAGCAGTTGGTCTGCTCTTGTATTGTAAGTACATTCTTTTATTATTTTATCAATATTGCTACACAGTGAGCACTATTGGCTGTTTCTTTTATTTCTAGAATTGGACACCAATCACAGAGAGGAACCCATCTAAATCCTATAAGCGGGGATCAAACCGCTGTATGCGCCTTATTCCAGAGCTAGGACATTAGCTCTGGTAAATGTGAGTTTTATACTATTATTTCTTCACATCCACATTAGAACTTTACGTACTGCACTATTGGTTGTCCTTCTCTCCCTTTTTATCTTTCATATAAGTGGAACCACTACAATAGTAGAAGACGTCACCAGCAAAGACAATTTGTAAGGATAAAACAGTTGGACTTTTCCTTTCTTTTTTAAATTGGACTTTATTTTTATTTGTGCGCGCAGCCTTTTTTATTGTTTCTATTTATCTAATGCTATGTTTGTATTATTTGCAATTCACGGATGTCTTCATGTGATTTTCTTTTTTTCACTTACATTTATTTTCTGCATTAGAAATAATTTTTCCATTTTAAATATGTTTACTCGGTCTTAGAAGCTTCAATGTAGCTGTTAATGCTTCTGAATCATTTTGATGCTGAAGGTCTGTTTAATTGCATTACTCTCCAGCGTGGTACTCACGCCACACATCTCTGCAAAGGCACCTGCAACGCATAACCCTTTCATATTTCTAATGAGTTCATAATTGTTCAATTACACCATTCTAACACAAATTTTGAAGCAGATGGAGTATTTCTCTGGTACTCCCCTATTCTTGTATTTGATAATAGAAATTAAATGATGTGACATGTGCATATATGTACAATGTCTTAATTTACTAAACATCTGCTGTTTGTTAGTATTTCCAATAAGTCTCCTCATTGTAGATTAATTAATGGCACGGTGAAACAAGTAATGATGCAAAGGTTCTTCAGTGTTTGAGATTTCAACCTATCGGAGTGAACTGGGAAAATGGATCAATCAGATTCTTTTGAATATATGTTAATCTTTTAATGCAGTGCACATCTGTTCAGAACTGTCACGTACACGTTTCTTTTTTAAGAATAGGGCTTATATTGACATATGCAAAAAAAAAGGCCATGATTAAATACGAAGACTTGTCATTTTTGTGCAATACTCTGGTTTTCCTTGACAAGCTTAATTCACTTTGCTAAGGGAGTGTAAGGAGGCTGCAAATGTGGCATTGGTGAATCTGTTGCTAAGCATCCTTCTTAGTCACCAAGTGTAGCATGTTTTATTATACATCATTCAGTGGTAAAGCTGCGTCAACCACGAGAACATTTGTTCCCCTAAAAATTATGTGTTTACTCATTGAACAAAATGAGTCATCTATTTTAAATATAATTGATCACTTAAAGGCACCGTGAAGGCTGCATATGGTTTGCAAAAGAAAAATCTGGCAGTGTTTGCTGTTAAATTCATAATCATGCCCTTTTTTTGGTTCTTTTCTTTTTGTTGTGGAGTCAAAATATATAGCGATAGGTAATTATGGACAATTTAATTTGACGGCTTGGATTCTAAATTATGCCGTTCTCTAATGAAGTAGTATTTCAGTATATCCATGTGCTAAATTGTGCATTTCAAATAAATGTGGTAAAGGATAGTGATCTCAATGCCCAATATTTTGTTATTTTTTTCACAATACATTTTTAGGATATGATTACGCTGAGTATTTGGTATCTTGCCAATGAAATCTGAAGCCACTACTGTGAATCCGAGCCCTGGTAACATTGCTTTTGTGTTTTCGTGATGTTTAAGAAAGTCACTAGTCACAGTAACTGGTACTGGAGTTCATATTACGAATCAGTCAGCCACAAAAATCTATTTTATATCACATACCACAAGAAGGCTCAAAGAACAACTAGAAATATCTCATTAGTATCATTGCTTGGAAATGTTAACACATGAATAAAAAAAAAGAAAAAACATCTATAGTGTGTGAAGGGAGTATATAGGAGTCAAACTACCCACTGTAAAACGCTGCAGAATTTGTTGGCGCTATATAAATAATAACATAATAATAAACAAGGGAAAGATGGGACCATGTCCTGAGACCCAGGTCCTCAAGCTTTTTTTCTCTCCTGACGGTATGACTCATAAATTTTGAGTAAATTTGTAGCCCTTGACAAAATTGCTTGTCAAATTCACTATTCACTTAGTTTCTTCTGGCTTTCTTGTGGAATTGCTGGAATTGAGCAATGTGCCTTATTGATTTTGCCTGGGGATGGTTCAATTGTCAAATGTGAGTTTTGTAACCAAGATAAACAAATTTTCTTTAGAATAAAAGGCTATAAAGAAAACCATTTTGATGTATATCTAGTCCATCTCAACGTTTTGTAAACGAATAAAATGGTGTCAATTATAAAGTGGCCCAAAATGACTATTAATCACCTGTCAATTCAGTTCAATTCAGAGTGAAGACTACAGCTCTTTGAGTCCCTGGAGACTACCTTATCACAAAGAGCACTCTTCTTGTGTTTCTAATCCAACATGTAGCAAATATAGAGCTCTACCATAAACAGATTCCCTGCTTCATGGATTGTCTCACAGTTTCCCCCGTTTTTCTTTTGGGAGTGGCTTTGTCACAACAGATAAAAAATATTTGTAGAGTTGACAATGTTTATTTAGAGTAGAATAGATTATTGAAAAGTTTTTTGATAGTGTTACAGTTCAATCACAGGTTACGGGTTCTTTAATTACAGACAGATACTGTTAACCAAACACCCAAGGAGTTACAATACTTAGAATGAGCCTTAAATGTCAGTTAATAAAACCATTAGACTGATGGGTGTACGTGTACTTTGTTTTTAATGGGGTTCTGGAATATATCTTTATGATAATATACTGCACATTTTTTCATCACAATGTGGTCAATAAATTATTATTTTTTTATAAGGAGGCATATATGTGATATTGCAACATAAAAATACCCAACATATATTCTAATCAGGACACAGGCAACATATTCTCAGCTTATAGAGGAAGGGGCATCATTTAAAACAGAAAAAAGTTAATAAATGGTATTTTGTATTTTCCAATTTGTAATCAGAGTAATTAAAAATAAATAAATACCGGTAATGTCACTTCTTACCAAGAATTGGGTTATCTTGCCTTTGATCAGCATATTTCCTAAAATAATGATTTCCTGAAATAAAATGAAAAGAAACAATTGAGTTTTTCCCAAAAATAGAACTTTTACGAAAAGCTATTTTGATGTGTAGGAATTTCTTTAAAAAAAAAAAAAAAAAAAAGATCTATTATATGTCACAAATGTGTGATTGCACAAGAGTGTTTGAAGCTCCTTGCAGATGAAGTCATAGGAAGATTAAGACATTTGGTGGCGATAAAATGGCAAGATCTGGGAGGGAGATTTTTATGTAAGCATATCTCCTTAATTATAATCAGGGGTTTCACAGCACAACAGTGCTTATTTGTGAGGAGATATAGACAGTAGGAATGATTGCTGAAACAGGCTACTGGAGAAGTCACCAGGCCATCAATGCAACACCACCACAGGGAAAACACAAAAAAGTGTAACTAAGCAGAGCTACTTGTGGGGATAGACCCCCCTGCAGTGGACCTGCATGGCAATCATTTACATCCCTGTACTGGAAGAACATAGTCTATCAAACATTGGGGCACACACAAGGGAGAGAGTTCAACTATATTTACATCTGATTTTCTCTTGGTTACTGCAGTTCTACAACTTTGGGACCAAGAAGTAGCTTCAAATTCAACAAGCAATCTTGGTGTGTCATTTATTTTAGATCTTTATCACATGAACCTCTGCTTAGAAGATATGAAGCTTTTTGCACTCCAATCTATTTATTAGTGCTTAAAGGAACACAGTAGCTTTAGGAATACAAACCTGTACTCCTAATGCTATAGTATTCCTGTCCCTAATTCTATACAGGTCATTCCCCCCTCCCTCCTGTGTGTAATGACATTTATAAAATAAATGTTTTACTTACCTTTTTCCAGTACCAAAACTCCCTCAGTGCTACTCCCCTCTCCACCTCAAATGTTGCTCCAATCCAATGTTCCTTATAGAAGAGCAACGGGGACATGATGTGCATGCACGAATAGAGTGTCAGAACTGTGGCAGTATCTCTAGTGACTATCAAGAAGACAGCCACTAGAGGTGGATTTAACCTTGCAATGTAAACATTGTAGTTTCAAAAAAATTGCAATGTTTTACATTGCAGGGTTAAAGGGATAGGGTCATTCTACCCAGACCATTTCATTTAGATGAAGTGATCTGGATGTCTTTAGTGTCCTGTTAAGGTACATAGACGATTCCCTTAAAAAAAAATAAAAAAATGAATAATTAATATTGTTGCTGAAGTCTACATACATCAGCAAATTGACATTAAGGATCCTCAGAATGTAGTCTCTCAGCATGCACCGTGGAACCATTAACTTCATAGAGTACAGTAGCACAAGGGAGACATGAGAATCAGAAGAGTGTTTTCTTCAGAAGTCACCTCTAAAGTTATTCTATTTGATCTTTAAAATATTTATTTCTTAATTTTGGCCTAAAAAAATAGGGGTCGTCTTATACACGGAAAAATATAGTAAATTGAGACAATATTTTTAAGCTGTGCACATTCATGCGAACCCATGACAAAGGAAAATTATGATAAATATCCCCCCGAAACATAAGTATTTCATAAAGATAGAATGTTTATAAAAGAGTCATTATGACTGTGTTGGAATTTCACTGAAATTCTAGCCCAGTCAAAAGATATACAGAGATAAATTAGGGACTAATTTGTCTCTGTATTTCTCCTTCGCTTGACTTATCTTGACGCAAAGCGGAGCCTATGTGTCAATCCCTGCCGCCGTCACTGGGAATTGACTGTGTCTATGGGGGATCCCCCACAGACCTCAATGCTGGACTCTTGCGCATGTGCGAGAGAACAGAAGTGACATCAGCACCGAGGAGGACCCCGCAGGACCAAGATGGCGGCGCCTGCGAGTGACAGGCTCAGGTAACTAAATATAACGTTAGCTTTCCCCCTCGGCCACTGATCCCCTAGCCGCGATGTCACTGTCAGGGGATTTTGTAAATTTGGCAAAGTCCCCAAACGGTGACAGTGCTGCTTTAAATATTGTGCAAATTATTTGGAATGCATCAGTTTTGAACTGTCATAATGCTCAACAAATATCTTCAGTTATACTAAATTGTTAAATAGAAATTAGAGGTTTGCCATTTCTGTTCCTGGCTAGCCCGAGATAAGAAACATTCTAAAAAATCTCTACTATAGGGAAATTAGATGAATCAAGATTAATTAGTTTGGTTATGGACTATATGCCTGACCTTTGCCCAATGCTTTTCATCCTTAGTCTTTTAAAATACTTGCAGTCACATTGCTAAATAGTTTGTTCAGAAGTAACCTGCCACAGACAAAATCTGATAAGAATGTTCTGCTTTTGACATCTAACTTTTAACCTTTTAAATGCTATACTGGAGTTACATCCATGTGCATAAATTGTGAGTGTTGTAAGAGTAAAATATACATATGTCAGTTAATAATTAAAATGTTTTTTTTTTTTTTTGTTCCTAATTAGCTGCTTTTTAAACATATGGTCAAAAACAGGTGTTTGAAATTTAAAAGTCACCTAAAAGTGTTTTTATTCTCACCTTTGGTTTAAGATGGGTTATGAAAAATGCCAGTGGTGGCCTGTCTGCTTCTCAAGGTAGCCAATACAAATCTTAGTTTACAAGCTTTAGTGCTAAATATAGCCTGGCAGAAGCTTTGCAGTAAAAAAAATAAAAAGTTTTTTTTGGTGGTGTTGGTGGGTTATTCCTGGGGAATAAAATGTGGAAACTCACCCAAGATCCACCCCCTCTCCTCCCTCGTATGCATATATAAATGCATGCACACACACTGACAGGTGCGCACACACACTCAGACACACACACACACATAGATACACACACAGACACTCATACACACACACACACACACTGCCACACATACACTCACAGAGACACTCACACATACTCAGACACACACACACACACATACACTCACAGACACACACACATACACTCAGACACACACATACACTCACAGACACACACACACTCACACACACACATACACTCACAGACACACACACACATACACTCACAGAAACACACAAATTATTATTATTGTTTAAAAATTAAAAATGTCCCTACCTGGAGAGCTGGCGTGGACCTGTCCTTGGGGTCCAGTGGGGCTTCAGTGAGGCGGGCGCCTGTCTCCCTGTCAGATGCGGCAAGGGAGCTGTGCTCTCTCTGATCTTCTCCCTCTCGCCGTGCAGGCTGTCTACTGATGCCGGGATATTCCGGTTCTTGGCATCAGCAAGTGGCTCGCAAGGGAGCAGAGCTGGGAGAACACAACTCCCTTGCCGCGTCTGACAGGGAGACAGGCGCCTGCCTGGTGGTCCATCAGGTGCCCCCCCCATGACAGGGGTAACACGGGGGGCATTTGGGGGTGGCATTTTTTGCTGCCCCCTGAGTGCCTGCAGGAACAATGGGAATGGTGTTCCTGCTGTGAGAAAAGTGCAGGAATGCCGTTCCTGCAGGACTCGAGCCCTGCTCTAAAGCTTATCCAGACTTACCTTTCCTTTGATATATATTATAGAGCAAAAATGGCTGTCACTAATCCTTTTTTGTGAAGATAGTCCGGATCCTTGCATGTCTGCCAAACTTCAGCCTAACCAAGACTAAGATATTGGGGTTTGAGTCTTTTACATGGCATAACAGTGTACTGAATACAGCTTGAATGTATTGCTTAAAGTGACCATAAGGTAACCTTAAGCATTAACCGATGGCCCAGGGATTTAACATTGTCTTTGAAAACTAAGGTGTGGGGCAGTTTGCTCCCCAGTGCCCTGTGGGATCCTGCTACTGCTCTGGTAACTTGGATTCATTGAGATATTTGTAGGAATCTGTAAAACATGCACTTAAAGGGGCACTGTCACTCCGTGGCTGCATCTTGCAGCCATTTAGTAGATAACCCCCTAATTCCCACAGTATTAGGGAGCTATCTACTAAAAAGCTGAAAGATTTCTTAGTATTAGTAAATAAGGTGAATACGGGAGTTTATCATCCCCCTCCTGCCACTACTCCAGGCATAGCATGTCTACTAAACAGTGAGCAGCCTATGGGGCACCTACTGTATTTAACCACACAATAGTCGCCACCGTATAATAGTCGCACCCTGGTTTTTCTGTCCAAACATTTATTCAAATTCAATTTATCACTAATAGTCGCATAATTGACCATTGCTGTTTTTGTTGTGAGACATTCTTATTGTTGAGACATTCTTATTGGCGAACATTCTACTGATCTTATATTGAAGAAAAGGTTTATTACCCATCAGTTTATTGTATTTTAGTGCATTTTTTTTCTGGGATCAGGATCAGAGTTTATGTAATGCATCAGAAAATATGTTATCAGCAACTATAATGTTAGCAGAAACTGTTAAAAAAAATAACAAAGCTTTGCAGAATATTCACATATAATATCGCAAAAAATAACGCGTCGCATAATGGTCGCGCACCGCATAATGGTCGCACCCCCATTTTTAATGAAAGGAATTAGGAAAAACATCTGCGACCATTATGCGGTTATATACGATATTCAAATAATTAATGGGGGGACACTGTACCCCACAAATGGGGGCTATTAGACTAAACAGGGGACCTAGTGGCTAAATGTCACAGGCTGGTCACTGTTTAGTAGACCTGCTCCTACTTGCAACATAACAAATTTCAGACAATAGCGAATGCCTAGGTGTTCAACTGGGTATGTGCGGGAACTTCACAGCACTATATAGTGAGGGCAGATGACGTGTCCTGCAGGTCCTTCATCTGCCCGCACAGAGATGGCGGTGACCAGAATCTAGGTCTGGTCACGAAAAAACGTTAAAAACAACAGGTAAAATTAGGGGTGTAGGGGCATTTGCTGGTGATTAGGGGGGCAATAAAATGTATTGTAGTCGGGAGGGGGGTAAAAAAACAAAAACAAATG